TCATTTTTGCTCATAAAGGTAAGAGTAATACATCACTCGGAACTGTAAAGGGTCTACTTTTATTTGTGTGCACATACAATATCAACAAAGCGTTGTGCTTTTATAAAATAAAGGATACATACAGGATGTGCTTTCTGCAATTTCGGCCAGGAGCGCTTCACAATGATGAACCGAAACTCAGCGAATACTTGCCTCAAAAACTTGCTAAAATATATCTATAGAAAGCTTTAAATTACTGCTTTAAAACTAAATTCTAATCAAAAACAAAAACTCTTTTTACGGATCTTATACAATCCGTAAAGATGCATTTCTCAGGATCAGGATCGTCGTCTTCATCTTTGCGACACGGACTCAGAAAACACTAATTTATTAATAAATAATTCAAATATCTCATTATTTCCGCCCATACAGCCATGAATGAGCGCATGTTGGAAATAAAAACGCTAAATTTAATTCTCTCTGTTGTCTATGCTCATCATTAGTCTTGTGAAGTCTGAGTCACGTAGATAATCTGTCAAGATCCTCTCCCAATAAAGACGTAACTTTGCATGAGTTAAATAATACAGCCATGAATGAGCGCATGTTGGAAATAAAAGCGCTGAATTGAATTCTCTCTCTGTTGTATATTCGCTCATCATTAGTCTCGTGAAGCCGCTTTCATATTGCGGTTCACTCAGCGGGTTGATGCGGTTGATGCTCAGGAAATGCTCCAGCACGGTCACCGCATGTAACTTTTAACAAGATTCACTTGTTTAAAACACCCTAAATTGTATTAACATTTACTATATAATCATTATTTCGCTAATAAACATCTAAATAAATACAACTCTATGGAAATTAATTTGTTTGTTATATTCCAATATTCCAGAGAATATTATTCAGTGAATTAACATTATCCAGTGAATTATTCTTCACTCTTTAGCCTATTAAACAGCTTATAAACCTACTAAAACTGTAGTTTAAAATGAAGTTGATATGACTCCTGTCCTTTATTTATTTTCTCCATTTGAAAACATTAGACATTCTACATTTATTTTGCTTATTGTTAATATTAGTGTTGTTGCTGTTGATGCTTTTTATAAATAAAATGTTTTTGTTGTAATATAAAGATTACATTTAACATGAAAGACTGCTAATGTTCAACATTAAAAAAAAAAATGATGACTGAAAAGAGGAAAAACGAAAGTGAAGTATGTTCTTACTTCACTCAGTCATTTATTTACTTTATAACAGTAAATAAATATTTGTTCTGCATATCGGTTATCGACTGAAAAGAGGAAAAACCAAAGTGAAGTATGTTCTTACTTCACTCAGTCATTTATTTACTTTATAACAGTAAATAAATATCGGTTCTGCATATCGGTTATCGGACACATAAACATGCAAATAATTTGTATCGGTATCGGTTATAAAATATCAATATCGGTCGATCACTAGTATAACCTTTTGTAAAGGTTTAGAACAACATGAGGGCAAGAAAATTATGAACTTTTGCTTTAAAACAGAAACTAAGAAAAAAAATAACATCTCCAATGTTACTTTCTCATGTAGAGAAATAAGTCATGTGTGGGTTGTTTCCCTTTGAAAAGTGTAATACTGTGTGGGTGCTATCAAAGCATTGCTCTATTTGTACATCCTGACCAATTAGCAATTGCATTGTAACATGCTAAAAAACCACTCAGAATACCTTAGCAACTGCACAGCAATGCAGTGTCAACCACGTTACCGCATAGTAGCATGCTGAAGATCATTTAGAATACCTTAGCAATAGCACAGAGGCATGCTAAAAACAGTAAATGCATAGCAATACACTGGCACCCACCCAGGACATCCTATCAACTGCATACCTCACAAAACACTGTACACTCTTTGTACATCCTGACCAATTAGCAATTGCATTGTAACATGCTAAAAAACCACTCAGAATACCTTAGCAACTGCACAGCAATGCAGTGTCAACCACGTTACCGCATAGTAGCATGCTGAAGATCATTTAGAATACCTTAGCAATAGCACAGAGGCATGCTAAAAACAGTACATGCATAGCAATACACTGGCACCCACCCAGGACATCCTATCAACTGCATACCACACAAAACACTGTACACTCTTAAAAAAAAAAGTATTTTATTAATAGAAAGGAATTTTCCGTATAGATTTATTTTTACAGGTGTTTTACCTGTTTTTTGAATTTTGCACTGCATTGCATTTACAGAAACGTATATGTCCATAAAATTATGGATAATATCTTACCAGAACATTTTCCGTTTTTTTTTTTTTTTAACAGTGTATAACTGCAATTGCAACACCCTGGCAACCACCCAGAATACCCCAGTATTGTGGTGTCGAGCCTTTGTACGGTCAAATCACCACTCACATTTTCTTTAAACACCATGTCACAGAATCCGACCGTCTCGAGTCCTGAGCGCTCATAACAGCAATCAGTTTGAGCACAAATATTTATGCAATGGCGTGTTGTAGCTAAAAACACTTCACAGAAATTCCGTCAGTCACATAAACAGTTCTGCCAGGGCCCGGATGGTCAGGGACGT